CTGCAAGTTTCGTAAAATGGTGGCTGAAACTTTCTTAGAAATGAAATTGAACCTGAGCTCACTGATTGCGGCATATTACACAGCATAACTTGGTGATTTTGTTTAGAAAACGAGTAAAATACTTACCGTCGCTAACACTGCTTTTGAAGGCAGCCATGTTGTGTACGCCCTCAACATCAAAATATGTTCAAATCTTGAGTTTTCGATGTCAAAACTAGCGGATTTCATTCCTGCAGCTAAGCTTTCCCTGACCAAGCTATGCTGCACGGTGTCAAAGCTGTGATTTTCATTAAAAAGCTACACTTTCATTGGTACCCCTGATTTTTAATATTCATTATACATCATGTCACAGATATACGGATATATTGGTTTGACGATCCTTTTCAAAGTGGCCTAATGGTGGCTATTTTTGTGCTAAAAAACTTGTTTTATTTATTAGATCGGATTCTGACATTTTGTTTTAATGAATGGGCTTTTAGAGCCATATCTCCGACATGCTTTGACTATGTTCAAATTTCATATATTCATTATACATATATTCATAATGGCTGATTTTGTTTTAATTAATGCTGTTCCACAGCAATATCTCTCAATACTCATTTGACGATCAGATACAAATGTCAATCATTTAAATGTTAAACAATCATCATATTCCTGACATGTTTATATTCCAGCTATATTTCCATAAACAAAACTTTGTCTTAAATTTGATAACTAACGGGGACTATGCCATGCATGGCTTGTTAAGATGCATTTCTGTTATTACATGAATATGCTGATGTAAGTTTATAGTTCAGTCTGATTTTAGTGTTTGGTTTATTTGTGTACTGAAGGACTCCAAGTTGCACCTTGATTTATTTTGATTTCTGTTTGTTCCAGAATAAAAGAGACAATGGTCAGATGGTTGGTTCTGATAAAGATTTCCTGGCAGAAGCAGAACGTTTGGAAGTGAGAGAGAAAGCACCTTTAGTTCTTGTTGAGCTTCTCTTCAATGAGAATATGATCTCCCAGATTAAAGAATACCGCCTTCATTTCCTTAGGGTGAGCAATTAATACCATAATCGTTCAACATTAAACATGTAAACAAGACAAAGAGCATAGTGGCGTCAAAACATGTGGGATTCAACAATCTATTATAAAATATTTTTGGCTTATTTTCACACTTAATGTGCTATACAAATTTGGTCAATTCTGATAAAGTAAGAGACAATTCTTTATTTCCTACTGAAAAATCAGCAATTGAGCTATATAAAGAGAATTTCAAGCTCGAGATCTTGAAGGGAAGATCCATCCACAATACTAGAGTCTAACTCAATGTAGTCGCATCAGGCCATGGTACACCAGTCATTTTGCTTTACAATCTTATCAAGATCTGATAAAGCATTTTATTCTTTGGTTTACTTCAAACTGAGCTCTTAGTCAAACATATGTCGCTCACGTGCACTTCATTTTGCGACAGTGCAGTAAAAAGATCGTTTCTGAATGAGTTTATGTTCAATTGTATTAGAATTGGTTTTCATGGCAACTGCATCACTACCCAAAACTATTCATTAGAATTAAAAAACCATTAAATACACAAGTCTACTGTATAGAATATAATGATTTGCTGGGTTTTATTTTCTCTTATAGCTAAAATGCACTGAACAGAAACTCGGTGAATAATCAAATTAAGAACTCGCAAACCAGTAAAAATATTTTTGTGACATAAGATTTGCTAAAATAAAACCTATTGAGTATTTTAGTATTATAAGCATACATTGCCTTTGACTCAACTTTTTGCCGCATTTCTCACAGATGGTACACGAGAATAAAAAAGCCCAGAAGAATCTTCTCGGAGCCTTTGAGATTCTTGTTGGAACTGTACATCCCGACGTTCTCTTGCCTAAAATACCACACATCTTGAAAGCTCTGTATGATGCTGATTTTGTAGAGGAAGACGTCTTGTTGGCCTGGGGCAAGAAGGTAAAATACCTTTATTTAGTAAACCATCATTGTGAAATTATTAGTCCCCGTTCGGACGAAGTCCGAAAACGGGGACTTATAATTCGGTCTCAGTCTGTGCGTCCGTCCGGAGTCATATCTCAGAATCCCTTGGACCGATTCCGTTCATTCTTTGCATCTGCCTAGTACCTTATGTGGGACATATGCACATGCAGTGGTTTAGCGATTCAATTCAAAATGGCCGACTGGCAGCCATCATGTGTTTTTAAAATGTTGTATTTTGGACAGGCTTTGTCAGTTGTCATTTAAACTTGGTAAATAGATTATACATGTTAGGATACATGTCCGTGACGATTTATTT